TATAAGAATATAAAGAACCTCATACTTGCTTTCAGAATAGTATCTTAGTATATGAATGAACCATAGCTTATTTAGTTTTCTGGATAAGGACCCCTGGTAGCGTAGTGGCTGCGTACTGGGCTGTTAGTCACAAGGTCAGCAGTTCGAATCTACTAGCCACTTCTTGTACATAAGATGAGGCTTTCTGTTCGAATAAAGATTTACAACCTTGGAAAACTATACAGGATCGCTATGAGTCCGAACCGACTCAATTGCATATCACTAAACTAGGTATATAGTTTATGTTTAATATATTTGTGGCACTGTGGATTAATACACTGGACTGCAAAGTTGGTTTGAACCTCAAGGTTGGTGGTTGAAGCTCACCAGCTGCTCCTCGGAAACCCTATACAGGGTTGCTATGCATCAGAACTGACTCGATGGCACTTAATAACAACAGTTACAAGTAAACACAAGATCAATGGTTCAAACCCACTAGCCATTCCTTGGAAACCCTCCCTATACAAACAAGTTCACGATCCTTTGCAACTGACTCGACAGCACTTAAAACAGCAGAAACAGTACAAGTAATGCTGCATTGGATAGCTTTGAACATAAACCATATGTGAATATAGAGCCATCACTTAAATAAAATACAAGTGTAATCATGTCACTGTGCAGCTTCAATGTCACCCTCTAATTCTTAGGAAAGTGTTAATGTTACAGGGTGATATTGAAGCTGGATATTGACATGTGGATTCCTGCCATCAGCTTTTTTTTTTTTTTTTTAAGGTTTTTATTGTGGATTAAGTGAAAGTTTACAGGGCATATCATCAGTTTTACATTCAACAAATCATATACCTTGATTCATTACATTGGTTATAATCTCCTCCTTGTACCATCAGTTAATAGTATTTTTCTCTATCCACTTTAGCTTTTTAAAAAACACACAAACAAAAAATCCCACTCAGGCATATATAATAATTTACATCTCCAAAGGGCACATTCTGCAAGTCTGCTTCTGGCCACCAGCTCTTAGTCATTCTCTTCTTAGTCCATGAATCTAGAGTCCTCAGCCACTCCCCCTCTTCATGCCCCCATCTCTGGTGCTGCTGCTTCTCTGGATAAGGTCCCACACTCTGCTTGTGCATTCCTCTCTTGATGGTCCTAGGATCTTCTGTTTCTGGACCGTAAGATCAACCACTCCCCCTTTTTTGTTACAAAACTTTTACCTTTACAATTGTGACAGTTGCGATTAGTCATGATAACAGTTATTCACTATTGAATCTTACAAATCTTATCCCCATCTCTTTTCACCAGACCCATCTAGACAAGATGACAGCTATTCAGTGGGGACTCTTTCATTCCCCCCATACTCTTAAGCTATATTCCCTCTTGACACCTTGTAAGCCAGTCACTTTGTGCCTTTATTGCTCTCTCATTTTAGATAGCCAGTGTCTAAGTTGCCCATCCCTATCTACCCTGTGTACAGAGCAGATAGCATTGAAACTTGATTTGAAGACTCTTTCCCTCTC